AGGGAGAAGGATTATAATGACATGCAAATTTGAACGTAATTTTATGCTTGATATTTTAAGCTCAACAACAGTACGCCGGACGGCGAAACATGTAGTTGAAATTTGACCATAGCTGTTGCGCAAGTGGGATAACCATAAAGGTAAACTCTTATATCAATAATCATGTCTAGTTAAGCCARTGGAACCTATTCTATTTCATGGTCAATAATTCTTATATCTACTCACCCATGCCCTCAGATCTCTATCAAAGTCTATAACTATGTCATACAGCTCGTGATCCACAAGATTTTGCAATTCTTTCGCTTCATCAAGGAGTTTTTGTGCAGTTTTTTTGTCTTCCTCACATGATTCCACTACTTTCACTTCATCTGCTCTTTCAGTTACTGAATGCCAAACAGCGTTGATATGTCATGGCAATGGCAATGGCAATGGCAATGGCAATGGCAATGGCAATGGCAATGGCAATGGCAAACAACCAGATTACTATACAAACATATCACCAAATAGCAACGTTTACAAACCGATGTCCAATCTTTTTGCGATGTCTTGCGTGATATTTGAGAAACGATGGGCATCATGATATCCTTTGATATATGTGTTAAATAAATTTTTCGTGGCTTTTTTTATATTTTCCTTTATTGAAATGTCACTGAACACCTTCATGCGGCCTGCAATCGTAGCATCTTGCCACAACGAATCTTTGTGTACTGTATTTGCTAGAGCAGAGTGTACCTGATGTAAAGATAAAAGTTTGAACAAATTACTTAATCGGAGACCTTTGGATGCATAGAATCCTGAAGCAGCCCCATTTACAATTTATATGAAAGGCTTTTACAAAGTGAGGCATAGTCATGGGAYAGACCTAACCTACATGAATTGTGCCCAAAGATGCGTCCACTAGACTACCGGTAGTTCCGGCATCTCAACATAAATTTCGACCCATAGTTTAAAATCCAGATGATGTTGTTTTGAACCTTAGAGATGTCACAAAGTTATATATAATGTAAGCGTAATGACGTGAGAATGCGCGAGCTCGTGTCAGTCCCTATAAGATCCGTAGATCTCGTACCAGCATTTTCCCTCCCGATAATCTATACCATAATTGATATTACGGGTTATCTAGTTTGTATCGTTCGTGTCTTGAGATATTGAGAAGGTTACCATGAGGTACGTAAGCGTTTAGTTTTCCGTTGGAGCAATGCTACCTGTCAAAAAAATAAAGTAGATTTGCGTTCGTCACGAGTACCCATCCCCTGAAATCAATTTCCACACTACCTCTGGAACAATACGAGTACTTATTATGCACCTTATGCAAGTTATGCAGGGCAAAGCTATCTGGTATCATACACATCAACGTACTATACCTGACTGTAGATGATGTTTTCTTGGAACCTTAGAGGGTTATCCAGAATTTCCCTTGGAAACATCTTCATCAGTGCGTTGGCGTTTTCAAACTCACTAGACAGTTCATTCACTACTTCTCTAATTTTTTTTGGATCTGCCTTTTTGTCTTTTTGAGCTTCATCCTGAAGACGGACATTGAATAAGTATTTTGATGTTTAACAAGAGAATACAATAACCATGAAGTGATATTACTTTGACACGTGATCTACATATTAAGAAAAAAACAAGGATTTCAAAAATATGTAATAGAATTTGTCCCTCTACGTGGTAAGAAATTGGGTTTTGTTGTTGTTGTTGTTGTTGTTGTTGTTGTTGTTGTTTTTGAGAACTTGGCTCATGGAATAGTTTTGCTGAGGAAGGAAAACCATTATGAAATTCAAAAAAGAAAAAAGAAAAACAGAAAGAAAATCAGTGCCGTTCAAACGGTCGAAACTTACACCAATTGTAGCTGACTTCTGCATCAGAGAGTCTTGGAAGAACACGTCGAGCCCTTCAAAAATTCCTTGATTTAGCTGGTATATTTTCCTGATGTTCATCCACAACAACTTGGATGTTTCTGCAATTTCCGTTAAGTTCCTCTTCAAAGCTTCAGCTGTGGGATAAACAATTTTTCTCGTTTTACATGTTATTTGTTTATCGTTAGTACTTATGCAAGGCAGATTTTTTAATCTGCTTATGCACTCGATGTAGCATACACTTAACATACAGATTAATATTATTTTGTATTTTGGCGAATTTCGGTGGTGTGGCATGTATTAGTACATTCAACTATTAGCTATTCAATTTTTGTATAGTATTCTATACGCAACCATTTATATAAGCCGCCAACACAGCCCAAGATGTTTGTTTTGCGTCAGTCAAGATACACTTATTAAAAAGGTTAGACATATGATTGAAAAACTCAGACTTTTAGAATTATAGCGGGGGTAGCCAGGATTTGTCAAATTCAAAAATCCTATACATTTTGTTTGGGCAACCGAAACGCCGAACCCCTCAAAATAGCCGGGACACTTTTTGTGTTTTAATTTCCTAAAACTTGGCAAAGCAAATGAAAATTATCGAGTGTAATGGAGAGGTGGATTACCAAGTTTGAGCATCATCCACTAAACCGCTCAATTAACTTACCGGCTCCGTATAATATGCTTATTATAAACAATAACTTCGCCCACAACACCGAAACAGCGACGCGCACTCATTAGACCGATGCCGCCAATTACGCAAACCCAGGTAATTAGGCTATTGTTATCGTGGCAGTATAAATATGACCAATCTGACTTTATTCTTCATTTGACTCTGAAGATGACTTCCGCTCAGGTTGTCGAAACGTCAGTCACATCAAACAGTCCTTCTCAGRACTACATCCACCCGGATGATCATAATACTTCAATTAACATTCATTCACCTGGGTTCAGACCGTTCTATACAATACTTGCATAGTTTGTCGTCTTAGGTCGCGTGTCGCGAACTTATTTTTTAAAAAAGGGGAGTAAAATTAAAATGAATATATTCAGGAAAGGGCTTGTTTGGAGTTTAATGTGTTACTTTACACGCGTTCAGATAAAAACATCGGTGAACCCAGAAAAATACCCTTGAAAAATAAACAATGATAGGGTTTATAGCACCCCACGAAGTCTCGGCTTTTAAAAAAGTTGATTTTTTTTTTAACTAGAAGCTATATAGGCTTACCTGCTCGTAACTTGATCTCGTTGCTTTTAGAATATGACGACACGGTTGCCAGGTAGAAGAAAAATGTGTCTGAAAAGTATTTCCCCCTTTTCTGTTTTCTAAACATAAAAAAAGATGTAYGGTATGTTCCCAGTGGCAGTATCCGGCCAATAATGATTGTAATATCTTGGCTCGGATATTGAAACATTTCCAGTGCAATTAAGCCAAACATTACATGGCGTTACCTTAAATATTTTGTGAAACATTATATTTTCAGTATGGCTTGTAAGGTGCACAATATCCAACCACTGGGCCTAATGTCCGACCACTGATAATAAAGAGAGGGTGCCAATTGGGTTAGTAGTGAACTGGCAATTGGTCGAAAAAGTAGTAGTTAACTGACAAATTTAGCTACCGTTCAACTGATATTCCGTTATTTTGGTCAATATTATGGCTAGCGCTCGTAAAATTTATATTTTAATCGAGATTCGGCCGAAAAATTTGTAGTTAACTGACAACTAGTTATACCACTATTGGCACCCTCTTAATAATATATTCCAGCTTAAATGTTTTACTTTGAAATGACAGCAAATCTTCTTTTCATAACATTTTATCTTTATCTTCATTTAAATTTGGCATTCTCGTCATAAATATAGGATTTTAGAAATATAGGTGGTCATAAAGCTAATGTTACACGGTGCGATCGGATTCGTAACGACGATTTTTCGCGATACGACTCGTTGATTTTTAACACATGTTATACGAGTCAACTTTTCGCGCAACGTTCCTTCAAAAATCAACATTACACTAGACGATTTTTAGCGATTTTTAAAGGTAACAACATCGTCCTTAGTAATAAAATACGGGGGGGGAAAAACATCGTCCTTGGTCTTCGTCGTCTTTTGTCAAAGCCGCCATCTTGAGAGTATTGAACTGCATTAAGCTGTTACAGCAATGAACTTGCCAAAAATTCGCCATTCWGCGATGCGAGTTTTTGAAGCTGAATCAAAAACGTGCAACGCTTTGAYGCATTAAGGCTCGTTTACAYAGGCGATTTTTAGGCGATTYGTAGCGCKWTTTCCASTGCAAGATTCGCASTGGAAATCGCGCTGCAAATCGCCGAAARAAATCGCCTGTGTAAACAGGCCTTTAGAAAATTGCTTTTTCGCCGCATCGGCGTATCGCGAAAAATCGTYGGAAGAACGGAAGGAAGAATGATTACATACCTAGGATAACAAGCATCGAATGGATGGCTATATTTTACTAGTCCGTATATATTATAATAGGGTTCGGCTACCTCTTTAAGGGACACAGCCTGGAAGAGCTCTAAGATTAAACAATATATATTGTTATAGTACCATAATAATAATTCAATGACAAAAGAAGTTTCAGATCTGAATATATAAATAAATAAAAACAAGACCGAAAATGAAAGACCGYCACCTCCAACTTGATAATAGAGGCTTTGCACCATTACATAATGGCAGCCATGACAGGAGGCAGGAAYAATTGCATTTGGAGACTCTTTATATAAGATGACTTACATGARAAAGATTTCATTTTCCCAGGGAAGAACGACGTCTATTGTTGTGGCTCCTGTCATGGCTGCCATTATTGATGGTGCAAAACCTCTATAACACTTACTTTCGACTTCCTCATTAATTGTCTTAGCTGTAACAAAAGAAAAAAATTGTAAAAACAAATTACAATTTAAAAGTTCGTGCTCATTGATCCTTCCCAGCGCCCCCCGACCTTAAAGTATAAGTTGAGGAACATATATTTAGCAAATTTCTGGTGCTGATTTTGAACAACGGTTGGTGTCATATCGTGTTACATTAGAGGAAATACCACGATAAACTCGGACATTTTTTGCTTTTYTACCACAAAAACATGATAAAAGGTTCGGTGTTTTAACTCATGTGTGGCTCCGTAGCTCGCTCGTTACACACGACAACCAAATTCTAGCTTCGCTCGCATAAAAATCTCCGGAGGAGACAAGAGAGATCGACTTGGAGCAAGTATTCATATTTACCAACGCTGTCGACCAATCAGAAAGCGAGAAAATTTAATTAAGTAGGAAAAAATCCCTTACCTCCATCAAGGGTGCCACAGCCTTAAAGAAAACAGAGATAATAAATATCAGTTTGTATAATATAATAATTGTAAAAAATAAAAAAGAAGAAGAAGGGATTTTTAAAATTGACAAAATTAGATTAACAAATCGGGGGTTCTGTTTAGCTGTGAAGACCTGTACTTAAGAAAAATAATTCAAAAATGTTTTTTTTTTTACTTGTAGCTGACATAGTGTGGATATAGTTTTATTATATTAGACATCTATCTATGTACATTTTTTAACGAATTAGTTTTGACTAACTTTTTATATTGGTTTATAAAACATGATTAATTAATTGTCACTTTTGAAAATTCTGGRGTTTCTTTTTCTTTCTTTTTTTTCTGTTGCTTTTTGCAGTTAGATTTTTTAAGCGGTTTTAWCATGATCTCGGAAGATTGGGCAGACACTTTGCCAAATTTTATTACCACTAGCATATTTCGCGAGCTTTCTTTCTTATTCAGTTTTTATTTCCGCATGAAAATATTAAAGCAAATGGTGCTAACTAACTGAACAAAAGAAAGTGTACAAGGGATTCTTATTTGTAGCGGAGCTCCCGCGCGGGCCGATGGCCCGCGCGAGCGGAGCCCCATACTTAAGAAAAAATGGTAAACCATGGAGTTGATTTTTCATGGCTTGGCTGACGTCACTTTCGTCCGTACGTCCGTCCGTCCGTCCCTGTACACAACACAGGAATCCCGTCGACGAATCGACAAATCAAAGACTTTCTCTCAAAACTTTTAATATTTCTATCGATAAGCWTAATTTATTTTAATGCTGGAGGAAATATAACATGAGTAGCATATTACGACAAATATTCGTTATTTATTTAGCTTTGTAAATCTTTAATAATTCGGTTGTTTTTAACCAGCTATCGTATGTTTTTCGTTCAAGAAAAAGCTTTGTTCGCCTCCTATCGCGGGGTCCAAAACAAAGAAGACTTTCATTCAATAACTTTATATCTTTCTACAGATAATTTATTTAATCATTAAATGAAATATAAATTTTTACCAAATATTCAACTGTTTATTAAGCTGTTCGAGCAAGTATKATTATAAAAATGAGCTTAAATTTGTGTTGTTGAAAGGTGTTATTGTATAAAGACCTACTAGACTTTCACTCTAAAAAGCTAAAAAATATTCAAAAACATTTACAAACGCCAATTTACTGCCAAAGAAATRAGTCATTTTGTATTTTGCATTGCCTTTTGCATTATTTTTTATTTTGTCGCAGTTGTTCCTGCAACTGTTTAAATGAATGTAAGCTCTGTTTTTGAGAAACTGTAAAAGACCTTTTAAGTAAACCTCATTTTTTGCTCACCTTAACCAGTTTTCAAGTCTGTTTTTTGGTCTTGATTTGTCCTAAATCTCCAGATTTTCGATTTCAATTAAAGACATCCGAGGTAAATTTCACTAAACTTGATAGTGTATTGGWTTATCTGTAGTTAGCTTTCGTTTTTCTTTAAGTAAAAGAGATTCAAAGCCTAAAAAGTGTAGGCCTTGGAAAACTTTTTGTCGAARAATCTTCCAAGAACAAAACTARCCCCTGGGGGTGATGGTAAGTTGTGTACAAAATTCCTAAGTGGGAGAGTATACTCGCGCAAAAAATCAAAAATACAAAAAACGATGTAGTGCATTTCGATTCGATTTCACTGCATGGTTTTTATTATGGGAGWAATTATCATCATTTCGAATAAAAAATAATTGAAGATTTTTTCCCCGATCTTATTTTCACCTTTCAGTTTCATTCAAATTGTTCTCCCTGTGACTTCCGTATCGGGAGATCCGCTTTTAGGCAGTGCCTAAATATATATATTAGTATATGACGCCCTTGTTTATTTTGCTTCTTACCATATGACGGTTCCTCAGTTCCATCTGAAACTGTTTTGTGAATAAGAAAATGTTAACATTGATGTCGTGTTTAAGTATTGYTGGGTTTCAATCAGCTGATCTGAATCTTATTATGTGCTTCAAATAGTGGTCAAACACTGGCACCATGAGCTTTCAGCAGAAAGAATTCTAATGAAAACTTGGGATGCAGCRCAGTTGATAAGCATTCGGACATCAGACCGGAAATGACGTCAAACCCAGCAATTTTGAGAGAGTTTCAGTTTTCTTGTTTAACAGTCCCTTTCACCCAGTTCCCTGTGCCATCTTGAAAGGCAGTCGTGCCTTTGCATCGAATAGCGAGAAGAACGGTGAGCTTGCAATGATAGAGGCCTTTTTTACATCTTGGACAGTTAGACACAGCTACCTTTCAAGATTTCGCAGGGAACTGTTAAGGAGACTAGTAAATACATGATCTGTAGGCAAGTAATATTTACCATTTCCTTTTACGAAAGATATTAGGGCTATCAAAAGAATTTGGAACCAAATCTTCATTTTTGCAACTGATTTTCCTGAACAAGAAAAAGAAAAAAGAAAAAAGAAAAGGTTAGCCCTATCGTGAAGAATGTCTCCTAGGATCGAATTAGAATTTAGTAGTTGGTTTTTGCGGAGGGATCAGATGAAAACCGGATGAGAACCCGGAAAACCCTCGAAGCACAGGAGAGAACCAACAAACAACTCTACTCACATACGACACCGAGCTCAGCGGGACTCAAACCCGGGCCGCATTGGTTAGAGGCGAGCGCTCACACCGCTACGCCACCCGTGCTT